GCCGTATGCGCCCCCCCCTTCCACCCCCCGCCCAGGCGTTCCTTGGCACGGCCGGCAGCGCGGCCGGCGCGCAGGGCCTGGGCCTGCTGGCTGCCAGCTGGATCAGCAACACCCTCGAGGACATCCTCGCACTCTCAGTGGCCGGCCTCGCGTCGTACGTGTCCGTCCTGAACCTGCCGCTCAAGAGATCAGAGATCAAGGCCAAGATCTCGAAGATCTCCGGCAACTTTGCGGACACCGTGCTGGTGGCGATGGAGGAGGAGCTGGACGCGGAAGTGCAGCGGACGCGGCGGCGCGTGCTGGCTGAGGTCGAGCCGCTGGAGGCCGCGTGGCGCGCTGAGCTGGCGGCGCTGCGCGCGTCGGAGGCGGCGCGTGCAGAGAAGGAGGCGGCGCTCCAGGAGATGGAGCGGCGCGCGGCAAACCTGCGGTAGCCGGGGGTCCGGTTCTTTCTGCTGGCGGCGGCGGCGGCGGCAGCTGTCGCAGGGGCGGCGGTTTTGACGGGCTTCTCCCGGCAGGTTCTCGCCTCATGATAAGGCTGCCGCCAGCTCAGCGCCCTGCCTGGCCCCTGCCCCGGACGGCGCGTCCCCCGCAGGCAGCAACCTGCGCTGCCCGGCGTGCAGCGCCGCCCACCGCTTCCGGTTGACCAGCAGCTGCTGTGTGTGCGTGGCCGAGTCCCAGCCTGCGCTGCTGCATCTGATGGGACTGCGTTGCCCACCACAAGTGCTCGCTACATTTTGCGAGAGGGGCCTCTGTGATGCTGAGGGCTGAGCGTTGAGGGATGTGGTGTGCGCCCTAAAATGCATGCCGAGGGCTTTTTGCTGCACAACATTTGCCACACACCCCTGCTTTTTGCCTCCCTGCTTTTGCCCTGGTCGCGACCAACCGTCACGCCGTACGCATACACATAATGCCCGGCCGCAGCAGCTGCCTGTCTGACGAGAGTGATGTGATTGTGCGCAGTCATCACACTGACGCAGTGCCCGATGCACATAGGCGGCGAAGGCCTCCGCCAAGTAACAATGGTGCTGCGCGCATGGCGGACGGCGCAGCAAGTAAAGTGTTTGGCAAGAGAGCTGCGAGTAGCTGAGTATAATCTTCAACAGCTCTTGGTGAGGAAATTGTTCCGGCTACAAAGTTGTCACGACGGACACAGACGATAGGAGACATCAACAGTGGTCAACAGGGTCAAAATCTTGAGAGAAGGGTCCAGTGATGTCAGTGGCCAAGTTACAAGCAGCACCACAGGGTCTATTGACAACAGGGGTACAGGTGGAGAGGGTACGGGCGGGGATACCCCATTCGCGTTGAGCACGGTGCTGCTTGCCATATCTCCTGTGCGCGGAGTCTACGGTGGCCATGAGTCACTGGTGACTCGTGTCGATGATGCTGGTGGACTCCACCTAAGTGTGTTGTCAACGTGTCCAGCAGTGCACGCATCGTAATTCCGTCACAAAATCATTCTCACAGAAATTCCCGGGGTGGCGGATTGTATGGTGATCATTCGTTCATCACCACACCAGAAGACGTGTGCAATTTATTCAAATGATAGTCGCTGTTGACCAGAAGACGCTGCTTGTTGTCACACAACATCTTGCTGCGCTTGCTGCAAGCCTTGCCGACAAGATACAGTAGCAGCAGCGCCGCCGTGAGCTGTCCTCGCCATACAGCAGCGTGCCGCCGCAGCAGCGCTAGTACGTCCATATCCAAGGCCCCAATCAGCCGCAATAGCGGCGGCGGCGGCTCGGAACCAGCCCCTGCCTTGGAGCCGCACGCCCTTGGCCTCATGGCAGACGGATCGGCGCTGGCCTATGGCCTGGGCTTCGTCTTTGCGGCGCTGTCGGGCGTAGCCATCGCCGTCCAGAGCGGCATCAACGCGACGCTGGGCTCCCACGGCGGCCAGGCCTTCGCGGCCGCACAGAGGTGATCTCGCGCCTCGTAGTTTTTGGGGGTGTCCTTCGGAGCCATCAGCCTGTGCGGCCCAGCGAGGGTGCGCCGCCGTACTTTGCTGCAGTCCCGCGCCGCTCCGGCCGCAACTGTCTGGCGCCAGCAGCCATGCGCGCGGCCCCGGGCGCGGCCGCAGCTGCTTGGCTGTGAGGGCAATTCGCTGTGCGCTGCAGACGGGGCGCACGCCGTGTCTGGGCAGCGATTACGAGACGCTGCGAGAGACCAAGCTTTGAGATGACAGCCATCAAATTGCACCTGCAAGCCATCCAGCAAAAGCAGCCCAACCCCCTTTGCGCCCAACTCCCCACAGCTTTCTCGTGGGCTTTGCGTGCTGCCTCATCTTCTTCGGCTTCGACATCAAGTTCCGCGGCACGCCGCTGCCCACACTGCCAGCGCTCAAAGGTACGTTCCAGACGCCCGCCATCACAGTTTCCTCGCCTCCCCTCGTGCGCACATCAGCGCTCCTGACATTCCTCATCCCCCCCGCGTCGCCCCACGCCAAGCCACCCCCCCACACACACACACACAACACACTCACATACACCTCGGCTCCTCCCCCCCCTAAAGGCGCCCCTGCCTGGGCTTGGCTCGGCGGCCCCCTCGGTGCCTTCTTCATTATCGCCATCATCGTCTTCGCGCCCCGCCTCGGCGCCGGCAACTTCCTGGCCGTCTTTGTGTGCACGCAGCTCACCACAGCAGTCACCCTGGACTTGATCGGCGCGGTGGGTTACGTGCAGCGCACATTCAGCTGGCAGCGGTGGGTGGGCGTGGCGCTGATGGCGGCCGGCGTGGCGCTGATCACGCTCTTCCCTGGAGAGCTCGCGGCAAAGGCGCCGGCGGGGGCCGCGGCGCCGGTCGGGCGGTCGCTGACTCACCTGTACGTGCGCGGGGCCGACGGGACGGCGGCGGGCGCGGCGGCGGCGCGCACGGCGGGGGCGCTCGCGATGGCGGCGCGGCCTGGGCCACGGCCCGCCCAGGGTGTCTGAGGCGGCGGCTGTCGACGGCACTGCATTTTGTCTGCACATATCAGTTTGCTGCATCACGCTGCATCATGATGACGTGTGCATTCGTTGGCCACCTGGCCTGACGCGGCACTGTCATGAAGACTTCATGGGATGGGGTCGCATTGGCCTCGGTATCGCCGTGCGCACACGCACACGCACACGCACACTTTTAGCTTGCGGATTATTGCCGGCCAACGTACTTTGTTGATTGTTTGTTTCCCACAGATTTTCTGCAGGGGGAAGCCTTCCTGGCAACTGCTGATAAGCCGTGGAACCCAATTCTACTACAAAATATTTGCCGGCGCTCCTCTCCTGTAACGCAATCCCTTCTGAGGCGGCCCGACCAAATGAGGAGTGCCTTGGAGGGGCTCGAGAGTGCAGCGTTTGTGCGGTCACATTGACCCGCTGGCTGCCCAAGAATTGTGCAGCCGACTGACATGTTACAGCAAAATCGACCCACAGCAAGCGCATGTGGTGCTTACACGTTGGGCTGAGCACGGTCAACCCGGCAACAGGACAGACCCCAGTGGTGAGAGGGATGATACAGGAAGGGTGGAGCTGCGAACGGCGCCGCAGCACTCAGCGCGAGCCCTTTCTCCGCTGGTTGCGGTCGTCGTGGCCGTGACTGCGCCCCTGACCGTGGTGCCCGTGGTGCCCGTGGCTGTGGTGGTGGTGGTGGTGGTGGTGCTTGCCGCCGGCCCCGTTCTCGCCGGGTGACCGCCCGTGCCCGCCGCCGCCGCCACCGCCGCCGCTGCCCTGCCGCTTGCGCTT